AACAAAATTAATATACCGTTGTGCACAAGTGCGCTCGGGTATAAAAAAGTAGTATGCAGGTTTCTAGCCCATTTAATTTTAGTAATAATCTTCGATATGTTTTTTATATGGAGAATATGAGCGACACCTTCAACAAACAAAGTTGTCAAAAATTAATGGTAAGTCCTAGCTTCCTCAGACTTGCACTTTACTGTACTAAAAAACTGCATACTTTAGTCTAAAGAGTGCAATATTTTCATGGAAATTTGCAGAATTTTCTTTAATTTTGCGCAAGGTTGGGAACTCTGATTTATGGGATTTTTGTTGTAGAAATAACCATATTTTTATAAAAAGTTTGCGAAAAATAAAATAACTAGAAAACAGTTGACCGTATTGCATAAAACACTGTATGTACCTAAACTTTTTTGACTGACCGATGTCTCGCGAAAAGTATATTTTCATAACTACATAGAGTTATTTATTTACTTACCTCTATAAACTTATGTTCAAACAGCCACGAAGTATAAATTGTCCGTACAAAAAGAGGCGATGTGACACACGCATATATTACGCAGTCCCAAATATACATATAGCTGAAGGCCTTTTGATTGTCGACCTCAACAAACTCGTCGATTTCGGATATTTTAAAACTATAAAAATTATATAAAGAATAATATTTAACAGGTATGTATATATAATTAATATAATATAATAATATAATTAACCTGCGATAATAATAAAGTCACTTATTTGAATTTTACCCCTTTTAAATTATGTATGTAAATTTACGTCCCACCGTGGAGTATTTGCATAGTAAAACCGACCAATGGCACGGGTAAACGAACAGAAATCGATTACTTACCACCATACGCACCAGCGTCAAAATTTCAAAGTTCTACGAAGTACCGTTACAAAGATATAGCGAAAGGAATTTTGGCTTAAGTGCTAAATTGTACTCTGTTTACATATTTTTGTGCCCGCAGTGTCGGTTCAAGCCTTTTTCTCCGTGAACAATTCTTCATTGCAGAGGGGAATTGTTACATTTTTGTGTGAAAGTTCTGAAGTGCCTCTATTATTCTTCCAAATATGGACTATTTACCAACATTTGAGATAGATTTAGATTTTATTTATTTATTATTTCCTTAAGTCAGCACGCAGTTCTTAAGGAGTTTGCTACGCTTTCTACTACGGTTTTCTAAAGTTTTTTGTGAAAAAAGAGCACAAGGCAACCCAGGTTTGCAACAGAAATATATGCCCGTTCCATTATTTCTTGAGGAAAGAGTGAGGCAACAGGCTGTGAAGTATCAAAAATGTCATTTTCTTGAGATCTGCATACAGGCCATTAGGTGTTAAAATACTTGGTCATTGCAGAGCACTTGTGCGATACAGCGACACCGATATTTCTGAACAGTTAGTAGAAGAGGAAAATTCTGTGTTCGTTGCTTCAAATATTGCACTCGAATAAGGCAAAAACGGCACATCCTCTGCCCTTTGATGCTTGGTCAAGGGAGATGGTTGCCTAAATGGCAAAGATTGCTTAAAATGGCAATATTTTGAAATGCGTGAGCCCGATAAGGATAAGTACGCAAAACATGCACTTTTACAGGGTTGAGTGTAAAACAGTGTAAAACGCAGGGTTGCACGAAAGAAAAGTTGAATGGCTAAATGTTAGCTGGCGACCAACTTCGTTGGAAGCAATGAGTTGAAGGGGCGCTCAACCAGACGTTGAATGCAAACGCGAATATTTCGATATTTTTTCATATTTTGATATTTTTAGCCATTCAACTTTTTTCCGGGCAACCCTGCGTAGAGTTGTTGAACAAATTGCAAATGTTGAACGCAAAGCTGAGCAATACACTGCTTAACATCAAACACATTTTGCACCATGGAAGAACTAAATTTTTTGGAACAAACGAAATCAGTGTTAGTCAATGTTATTGTGGCTTATTAACATTTTGTTNAAGAACTAAATTTTTTGGAACAAACGAAATCAGTGTTAGTCAATGTTATTGTGGCTTATTAACATTTTTGTTCTTTTTTTAATATTTTTATTGAGCTTCGTACCACGATTGTTTATTAAGAACAATTGAAAAAGCAACAAAGTCTAAGCGGTAGAAGTTATAGCACTATTTCGGAGATCACCACATCTCCTCATCATATTTCTTTTTTCTCCACTTCAGCAGGGATCGAACCTGCGAATTCAATGTTCAAAGTCAGTAGCGTTAACCACTGAGCTATGTACATCCCGTAAACTCTTGTTGCTAATTCATTTTCCTTATTCAACCAACTACTATCAAGTGCAGCTGATTTGCCGCTATTTAAACTCGACAGCGTGGTTGTTGTTGTCAATTCTATACATCCATTTGCTTATTTGCTTTTTTGTATAGTTTCAGGCAGGCTCTTCCTAAACTATGTATTTGTCAATGTTATTGTGGCTTGTTAACATTTTTATTTTTTTATTTTTTTTATTTTTATTGAGCTTCGTACCACGATTGTTTATTAGGAAAAATTGAAAAAGCAACAAAGTCTAAGCGGTAGAAGTTATAGCACTATTTCGGAGATCACCACATCTCCTCATCAGACTTCTTTTTTCTAGACTTCAGCAGGGATCGAACCTGCGAATTCGATGTTCAAAGTCAGAAGCGTTAACCACTGAGCTATGTACATCCCGTAAACTCTTGTTGCTAATTCATTTTCCTTATTCAACCAACTACTATCAAGTGCAGCTGATTTGCCGCTATTTAAACTCGACAGCGTGGTTGTTGTTGTCAATTCTATACATCCATTTGCTTATTTGCTTTTTGGTATAGTTTCAGGCAGGCTCTTCCTAAACTATGCATATGTCTATGTTATTGTGGCTTGTTAACATTTTTATTTATTTTTTTTTATTTTTAATATTTTAATTGAGCTTCGTACCACGATTTTTTATTAAGAAAAATTGAAAAAGCAACAAAGTCTAAGCGGTAGAAGTTATAGCAGATGTTCGGAGATCACCACATCTCCTCATCAGACTTCTTTTTCTTCAGACTTTGAACATCGAATACGCAGGTTCAATCCCTGCTGAATTCTAGG